GTTGACCGCTTCAGCCTTGGGATGGGGCACCTTCGAGCAAAAGCGAGGTAACAACGCGTTGCGAGCGTTTGCGAATAGGTCGATGGAGTGGGGCCCCCAACGACGTTCAAGGAGGCGAAACCACGGTTGTTTCAGAGTGTAGTCATCATGGTCTTGCAGCTTGGAGAGCTCGTCCGCATGGGTGTTCAACTCGCGAGGGATCCATTCGATCGCCAAGCGAACCGAGTGTTCCGTTCAAAGAGAGATGATTTCTTTGCAGGTGAGGGTGAGCTCGGTGGTGCTTGAGCCGCCCTTGCGTAGGATGAACATGACGCCTTGATTGTCGACACGGACTAGGGTGTGGCCACCCTGGATCTGATGCATGAAGGTTCGTAGTGACCACGAAACACCTTCCAGCTCCCGCCGGGTGCTGGATGTGGGTGGCAAGTGTGAGGGCATGCTTGCGCTTGCTGTGCTCCTCTCTCCGCGGAACGTGACGAGTGTGATGCCCCAACTGTGTGCGCTAGCATCCACCTGGATGACCGCATCGTAATGGTGCGGTTGATGGAACGGGGCACCATTGAACTTGTCGAATTGCTCCATCCAGAAGCCCAGTTCGTCAATTGCCTCTGATGATAGCGATATCCGGGAGTTCCATGATGGTGCGGTGTTGATGGTTTGGAGCAGCTCGTGGCTGAAGGCTCGTGCAGTTGCTCCCAGAGCGAGGCTCATTGATGCGAGCATGCCGGTGACTCGGGCGACGTGGCGGATGTGTACTTGGCGACCTCTACGCCCCTCGGTAATGAGCGTCGCCATTGTGGATTTTAGTTGAGATCGACGTTCGTCTCCCACCGAGAATGTGCAGCTTCGAGTGTCCAGCTCGAGGCCAAGGAAGCGGAGTGCTTGGGTGGGGAGCAGCTGAGACTTCTTCTTGTTGATCACTAGACCGGAGTCCTTTAGGTCTTGCACGATCATGGTGCATGTCGATTGGGCTTGTTGGGCTGACTCGGATAGCACTAAGATGTCGTCGACGTATGGGATCACTCGCCATCCACGTGCACGCCATCGTCGAGCGAGCTGCTTGATAAGTTGGGTAAAGACGAACGGGGCTGTGGCCAACCCGAATGGTAAGGAGCGGAAGTAGTAATATGCTCCGTCGAACTGGAAGCCAAGGTATCGCCAGCAAGTTGGGTGTATGTCCACATGGTGATACCCCGATTTGAGGTCGACGGAGAACATCCAATCGTTCGGCTTGATCAACTCTGCCACGCGAAGCAGTCCTTCGTATTTGAACTTGGGCACGCGCAGGTGCTCGTTGACCTTCCGAAGATCCAGTATGAGGCGACATTTTTCGCGTTGCTCGACCACGTTGAGCGGGCTAACACATGAAAGTGCGGCTCGATTGGGTGCCTCTGCAGCGGCACCCGTGCGAAGGAGGTCCTGGACTGCGGTTCGGGTGAAATCACCATGTGCTTGTGTGCCGGCGTGGTTTTTCGATTCAAAGGGCGTGGGGGGCTCGTTCTTCCATGGGAACCAGTAGCCACGTGCGATGATGGATAAGATGAAGCTGCTATCGCACCATGAGCACCACCAGTGGAGTGCTTGGCGCAGTCGGCCTTGCATTACGAATATAGTTGTGTCTGTCACCGCGAACTCGTATGGGTCGGTTGCCCTCATTACCCATTTGTTGCTCTCGGCTGCGTACCAAACGATGCATGCAGGAGACGGCGTTAGTGTGCTAATCAGTAAGGAGCGATCATGGTCCTACGTACCATATGCTACGAGTAGTGTGCGAGAATCCCCTCGCCCTTCTCCCCCCCCTCTCCCTTCTCTCTCTCTCTCTCTCTCTCTCTCTCTCTCTCTCTCTCTCTCTCTCTCTCTCTCTCTCTCTCTCTCTCTCTCTCTCTCTCTCTCTCTCTCTTTGTCTCTTTTTCTTTCTCCTTTTCCGTGTCTTGCTTTGCGGTGTTGGGTGATGGCCAGAGCTCGTCGTTCAGTGATGGCTACCTTTTATCCAACTTAGTGATGGGTTGGGTAGGCGTGGGCATATGTGTGCCACCGTACCATTCAACCTCCTCCACTCTCTTTCTCTCTCTCCCCCCCTCCTTGGCCTTTTCTTGTGATTCTTGGCGTGGGTGTGCCGAGCTTTGGCACCTCTGAATCTGCCCCTTGGAAGTCCCTCCTTTTGGGACCCCTTTGTCACCTTGCTCTCTCGCTCCTTCCATCCCTCTTTTTTTTTTTTTTTTTTGAGCGAGCTTGCCCGTGATTTTGCCTCTTGATTTTCCTTCTTGCTGCCATTGTTTGTGGCTTTTTCCTTTTGAAATTCCTTGAGTAGGCTTGCCAACTCTTCATTTCCAAAGTGCAGCTCCAACCAAGAGCCCGTGGTTTAATATGAGGAAGTAAAAACAACTTGCAAGTCCTTTTTTTTTTCTTTCTTAATTTTCTCATAACAAGAAATACATTTCAGAGCCATCCATCAGCCACCCTGGCCTTAATCTAAGGGTCCCCTGACCTCTTTGAGTCCCTAGGCTGCTCCACAGCCGTGCACCCCCTGGTGCAATCCCCTACGCTCTTTCGGCGAGCGGGGAAAGGGGCATCGCCCTTGGTTACTCCTCACACCACGGGTGTGGGGCCTTGTCCGCCGCGCCCCCCCATGGGGCAGGCGTTTGCCATGTGCCCGGGCTGGCCACAGCGAAAGCAGGTGCCCTTGAAGGCCCTGTTTTGGCGTGAGCCTTGTCCGGCACCCTTGTTGCCGATTTCCCCGTTGTCGAGGCCGTTACCCCGCACGGTGCGATTATAGCTCATGCGGGCACGCTTCGATGCTGCCACGTCTGCCACGGCTAGCTTGTAGGAGCGGGAGGTGAGCACGCTCTTCGATTGGTAGAGCTGGAAGCGGTCGGCCGCTTCAAAACCCGCCTCGTCCGCCACCAAGAGCACCTCGAAGCGCTTGTTAATGAGCGTTTCGATTTGAGTGACGTTGGCGAGCGCTCCTTCCGCGTCACCCTGCTGCAGCTGGAGCTCCATGAGCCTGAGGTGGGCTTGGATGGCAGAGAAAACCTCTGCCTGATCACGCACACCCTTGCGGTTGAAAGTGGTAGTTGCGGTTGAGGGAGCGAGCGAGGGGAGTGTGGGGCGAGGGGCATTGGAAAAAATTGGATTGCGGCAGCGAGGAGCCTCACCAGCAGCATCGTCGGACTCGTCGCTGTCTTCGTCGGCGGGTGCCGGAGCGGGGTTCTTCTCGACGCGAGCGGCCTTAGGCGGGCGAGGGGCGACGACATTTTCTTCCTTCTTGTTATTTTTTGCAGATGCTGTAACTTCGTCATTGTTAGAAGTCCCCGCAGTTACAGGTGCTTGCTGCTGTAACATCGCCAGCAGTGCCTGGACCTGCGCAGTGGTCAAGGCAAGGGGGCTGGCGTCAGCAGGGGCCGAGGGTGCCGAGGGTGCCGAGGGTGCCGCTGGCGCGTGCTCCTTGTCGCGTGCGCCAGAGGGGCCGGCCTGGCCGGCCGAAGCGATGATGACAGCCGCGTCAGCGGCTGTCTTTTTCGCAATGTCGCGCGGCTGCTTGGAAGCAGCGCGCGCGGCAGGAAGCTCCTCAGAAGGCGCCGAGGAGGTCGCGCCAAACAGGACTTCGACGCCAGTGGCGAGGTCCTCGCGTGCCTCCTCGGCAGGGCGTTTCGCACGACGTGTGGTTGCCCCGGGCAGACTTCCGGAGTTCTGCGCGCCCGGGGTGTTCGCCGTCTTGTTTCCTTCGCGAATAGAAACGTTGTTGACGGGCGCCATTGAAGCAATGTTGTGCTTAAGTATGTCGGCGAGAAGTGTTGTCGGAGCAGTAAAACGTGGAAGTGACTGAGTCTTCGCCAGATTGGACGAGATTGAGCGGAACTCAAACTAAAATCTGAAAAGAAGAACGTGGGTGAGGCCAAATGGCCTCCAACCTCTCTTTTGTAGCCAAAAGAGGGCGAGTAGCGATGCGACGCTGCCTTTGCTGCGTTGGCAATCGCTTCACTATCACAATACAAAATTTTAGAAAGTGAATACACTTTCAAAAATTATAATTTCTCGCTACTTCGATTCATTGCACCCGTAACAGCATCTAGGTAATTCAGTGAATCTGGTCCAACAGCCAACAAAAATAGAATAATATTCATAAAAACATTTCAGGTCCATTCCATTCCATCATGCACCATAAAACGTTTTACAGAACGCGGCAATTTTTTTCTTGCCTAACGCGTTGAACCTTGCTTATTCTTTCCATAGGACACATTCAGCCAATGTGGACCGAAAGTCCCTGTAACGCTTCACGATTTGTCCAGTACAGAGGTTCACATGAATTTCTCTCCACGGAAAAACGTTTCTAATCACCAGAGCTTCTCACGCTGAAGCAGATTGAACCCAAAACCGAGAGTCGAGGAGCGACAAAAGGATGGCCTGGAGAGTTTTCTGGATGGAAAAGAAAAACGGCAGCAAATAGTAAGGTACATTGTATGACCCACATGTCACAGAAATCAACCTTGAATAGTCGACGGGGAGGCCACACACGGCCTTGGAGAGCGGTTTGGAGCAATGCAAAGATGGCATGTGGGATGAGATGGCATGTGGGATGAGATGGCATGTGGGAGGAAATGACATGTGAGATGAGATGACAAGAGGGGGCAATGCAGCCATGCCCACTTGAGCATGGTACCATGTGGATTAATGTAACCGTGGCAACACATGGCACCATGCCCACTTCAACTCCAGCCTGTCTCACCTCCACCCGCTCAGCAACAAGAGAACCATTGTCTCACATGCGATAGCAGCAGCAGCGGCCCAGGGATAGCAGCAGCGGCCTCGCAGCCGCCTGTTTATGAGGCGCCTAAAAAAACCGTCTCACGACTCGCGGTTTTATATGGAGAGAATTTTGAGGTGCCTCAGAAACCTGCGAGTGGTTATAGCAGCAGCGGCCTTGCAGCCGCCTGTTCCGTACCCCCTTCCCCCCTGCCTTCCCCTCCACCCCCGCAGCCACAAGCACAGCACTGACTCACCCGCGTGTGACTCTTGAGCCCCAGGCACAGCAGCAGCGGCCGGGTCACTCCCTGTTGGCTGATGGAATGGGGGAAGGCGGAACGGGGAAAGGGGAAGGTGAATGAGGGAGATCAAGTGGAGAGAGGGCGATTGTGGGAGGAGAAAGGGTGAAGAGGAATTCTCGAGCGAAAGAGATCTGAGTAAGGGGACACGGAGATGGGTGTCTGTATCAAGTGGAGAGCGCATGCTGGTATGAGAGGCAAGGCTACAGGGAGGGAGGAGTACGCGCAGAAAGACAGTTTCGACCTGGATCCAACAGGTAACTCGTCCTAATCTCCTCTAGGCTGAGCTTAGGCTAGTAGGGATTGAATAGGTGGATCAAGTGGAGAGCGCATGCTGGTATGAGAGGCAAGGCTACAGGGAGGGAGGGAGGAGTACGCGCACAGGGGTTGAGGGGAGTACGCGCACAGGGGGTGAGGGGAGTACGCGCACAGGGGGTGAGGGGAGTACGCGCACAGGGGGTGAGGGGAGTACGCCCGAAGGGGGTGAGAGGAGTACGTGTGAAGAGGGTGAGAGGCGAGCAAGGCGAGGAGAGTGGTGTGAGAGAGGAGGGCGGTGAGAGGAGAACGGTGAGAGGAGGAGGAGAGAAGGGGACACAGACCTGAGTGTCTCTATGAGGTGGCGTGCACATGCTGCCATCAGTGGCTGCACAGGGAGAGAGGAGGGAGGGAGGGAGAGGGGGAGGGGAGTGGGAGGGGAAAGAAGGGGGAAGGGCAGAGAGGGGGATTAAAGAGGGAGTGGAGAGGGAAGTGCGAGGGAGGGGAGATGGAGGTGAGAGGGAGAGGTATGAGGCATGAGGAGGCGCACCGCACCGCACCTCACCTCGCCTCACCTCACCTCACCTCACCGCACCTCACCTCGCCTCACCTCACCTCACCTCACCTCGTCCTTTCATCCCAGAAGCACCTTGAGGCATGAGGAGGGCAGCAATGACAGTTTGAACACCGAGCTCCCTTGCTTCCCTCCCGTCTCCCCTCTCCCTTCCGATGCTCATCCCGTCCCACCACGCGCTACCACATCTGACCGCACTTCACCGCACTTCACTGCACCTCACCGGCTCATCACACTGCACCGCACTGCACCTCATCCCCAGCAGTACTGATACGTTGAACACGGAGCTCCCTTGCATCCCATCCCACCACATGCCACCGCGTCTCATCTCCCCTCACTGCATCTCACCTCGTCCCTTCTTCCCAGCAGTACTGACACATTGAAAACAGAGCTCCCTTCCATCCCTCCGATTTGCCCCCTCCCTTCCGCCCCCCCCACTTGCTCCCGCCTACACAGGACAACAGGTGAGGGGCGGAACAAAGAAAAAGGGGAAACAAAGTGGGCGGGGAGCAGGGAAGGGTGAAGCAGGGGAGGGGGTGAACAGGAGAGGGGAAAAAAACGAAGGGGCCGAGCAGGGGAGGGAGGAAAGAAAGAATAAGGGGGGAAGCGGAGGGCGGTGGAAACAAACAGGTGAGGTTGGAAACAAAGACGGGGGAGAGCAGTGGGACCCATCCATGCTCCCTCTGCACCCACCCATGCTCCCTCTGCACCCACCCATGCTCCCTCTGCACCCACCCATGCTCCCTCTGCACCCACCCATGCTCCCTCTGCACCCACCCATGCTCCCTCTGCACCCACCCATGCTCCCTCTGCACCCACCCATGCTCCCTCTGCACCCACCCATGCTCCCTCTGCACCCACCCATGCTCCCTCTGCACCCACCCATGCTCCCTCTGCCCACCCATGCTCCCTCTGCACCCACCCATGCTCCCTCTGCACCCATCCATGCTCCCTCTGCACCCACCCATGCTCCCTCTGCACCCACCCATGCTCCCTCTGCACCCACCCATGCTCCCTCTGCACCCACCCATGCTCCCTCTGCACCCACCCATGCTCCCTCTGCACCCACCCATGCTCCCTCTGCACCCACCCATGCTCCCTCTGCCCACCCATGCTCCCTCTGCACCCGCCCATGCTCCCTCTGCACCCGCCCATGCTCCCTCTGTACCCATCCATGCTCCCTCTGCACCCATCCAACCCCATCCGCCCACCTGGCATACAGCATGGTACCCAGCTTGCCAATCTGAGTCAACACCACCTGAAGCACCTCTGTAAACTTCTGTGTCCCTCTACATCCCTCTACACTCCTCCATGCTCCCTCTGCACCCACCCACCTTGCATATAGCATGGTTCCTAACGTGCCAATCTGAGTCACCACCACCTGTAGCAGGGAGGGGATGGGAGGCAGAGGAGGGGGAAGGGAGGCAGAAGAGGGGAAAGGGACGCAGGGGAAGGGGGGAGCATGGGAGGTTTTAAACATGAGAGGGTGATGGCAAACGACAAGAGTCTGTTTTTGAGTCGACTCAAAAACAGGGTGATGGCAAACGACATGTGTGATGGCCAAATGGGGACAAAAAAGCAGGAGGCGAGAATTAAAATCTTCAAGGGATGAGAGGTGAAAGGAAACCGGAAATGTGGTGTGTGTGTGAACACAGGGGACTGAGGGAGGGTGTGTGGTGTGTGGTGTGTGTGTGCGTGGTGGAAGCAGGACGAAAGCGAAAGTTGCAGAAAGGGAATTTGCAACACAGCTTGAAACCGGGAAGAGGTGGGGATGGTGGGAGCAGGCAGGCAGGCAGAGGAAGGAGGGAGGGGGGGGGGGGGGGAGGGGGGGGAGCAGGCAGGCGCGCAGCAGAAGCAGCAGCAGCACCAGCAGCAGCACCAGCAGCAGGGGCAGCAGCAGGGGAGGCGCGGTGTAGGCACCATGAGGCGGTCGTCGTATGAGAGGCAGAGAAACGTGGTTGCCGTGCCCTGATGGCCGGGGATGGGCGAGGATGGGCGCGGATGGGTGGAGATGGGTGGGGATGGGTGGGGATGGGCGGGGATGGGCGGGGATGGGCGGGGCAACATGTGGGGTTGAAGCATGTGAGCATGTTGTTGCTAGTGTTGGGTGCTCATGCGATCTCTCCCCCCATTGGAGGAATGTGGACACGTGATCACGCCCATGTGCGCCCATTTGCCACTACGTGCACCCATGTGCGCCCATTTGCACCCATGTACGCCCCATGCAACTTGTAAGGAAGCTTGGTGTTGCAAGCATGGAGTGCTCGTGCCATTCTTTCCATGGAGGTGTGGAGACACGTGCGCCCACGTGCGCCCACGTGCGCCTATGCGAGCCTATGCACGCTGAAGTGCGCAGATGTAAGCTTGGTGTTGCAAGTGTTGGGTGCTTGTGCGCTCCCTCCCATGGATGTATTGAGACACGTGCGCTGAGGTGCGCCTATTTGCCCCTATGTATGCATCTGCTCGCCTGCGCGCGCCTTTTATGCGCCTACGTGCGCACGTATGCATCAATGAGCGCGTGTATGCGCCTATGTGCGCCTATGTGCGCGCGTGCACCCATCTGCGCTCATCTGCGCGAACCTCGATATCCGCGCTGAACTGCTTCGACCGCACAGGAAACTCCGCCCCGCTTTCGCTGCTGCCAGTCCCTCCCCCGCCTGCTGCCCCTCCGCCCTCCCCCGTCTCCTCCATGCCCACCTCCCCCTTTCCCCACGTTCCCCCCTGCAGTTGTCTAGAGCTTCTTTTTCCAATGCCAATCAACGGTAACCGCTTGAAGCGATTTTTGAGGCCAATAAATCGATTATTGACATTAATTTCTTTCCCCCCAGCCAATCAACGGTGGCCTTTAGAGTCGCGTGAACAGTCAAATCCCCTTACACCTCCCTACTGAATCTCCCTTGCTGCTATAGATAGATTCTTCGCACCCTGCACAGTCAAACCACCCCCTCCCCGTTCACCCCCCGGCTCCCCTGCGATGATTTGATACGTTTCTCGCGTCAATTAGTATTGATCACTTTCCCTCTGCCACTCAGGAATAAGCGCTACTCTGCACTAGGAGCGATACGTTAGGGCGATACGCTCGCTCGCTCGCTCGCTGCTGCTGTGCTGCGATACCTAGATTGCGAGCGATGCGATGCTGATGGAGATTGCTGGTTGCTGCTGGGCTAGAAAGGATACTCTTGTATGGCAACCCACCAAAGGTCCGATTCTTTGAACGCAGATTGGTAGGAATGGCGTATGCCCAAGAGAATTTGGATGAAGTTGGGTATGATCCACCTGACGATATGTTCTTGTTGAGAATTGCGAATTCGAGATAAATTTCGTTAGAGCTGGTAATCGGGAAACGAGAACCTGGATTGACCATTTAACTGACTGGACGAAACAATCTCGCGACTACAAACAAAGAGTTTGAGTAACCTGACAGAACAAAATCTTTTCAAAAATTCCTTGTAACACGCTCTAATTTGCCGTGTTGAGCGTGTTGCATGGAATCTTGTGTGTATAGGCAACCTGTTACGGGTGCAATGAATCTAAGTAGCGAGAATTGCACTAAGGTGTCAAACGAGTACAAAGATGTGAGCGAAGGCATGAGCGAACATTTATATGCGAAGCATGCAAACGGTAACGCGGTGCGTGCGAGCTAGCTAGTGCTATGCTGGCAGCGAGGCTCGGGCTAGTCCCGAAGCGTAGGCCGACACGGCCGGGCCAGCAGTGCGAGGTTTGGTGAAACAGTGCGCGCGAAGTCGGCGAAGTTCCGTTAGCAGTAACGGGCGAACAACGGCTGTTGCTATACGCGATGTAGTCGGGCTCCGTAAGGAATGCCGAGAAAAATTCCTTACACTACCCCCCCCCCCCCTCAAGAAGCCCCCTCCGCTACGCGAGTGCGTGTATGTCGCGGAATCCCCTGAGAAGAAACGAGGAATGAGATGACTAAGTGAAAGTTGGGTACAAAAAAGCAAACCCTAGAAAACTGTACCCCATATGTGCCACCCCACTATAGCCTACAGTAGCTATGTCATATAAATCTGACACACCCCCATAGGCAAAGTGGGGGAAAACAAGGGGTCACAGGACCAGTCAAGCAAAGCAAAACAAGCTCAGGGTGGATCACAAAGTCACCACACATTCTGAGCACAAGTTCAAGGCCACAAGGCCAGTTCACATGCAGGATTCAGAAATATATATATAAGGCTAGACAAGCAAGAGCAGGAGTATATATATATATGCATCAGTACAAACAAGGTCAAGGGGTGAGCAAGTGAGGCAAGGTGGGCACAAGACCCAGCTGAGTACAGAAGCGCTGATGATCACAAGGCGCAAGTGCCTTGGTGAAGATATCAGCAGTGTTGGCCTGAGAGGCCACGTAAGCAAGCCGCAGCTGACCACGCTGCTGTAGCTCACGAGCAAGGAAGTAGCGGAGAGCAATGTGCTTCGTTCTGTGCTCCAGTCTCTGCTCTCGACACAAGGCCAGCATGGCCTTGTTGTCTACGTACAGCACTGGAGGAGAACGAGGCGGCTCTCCGAGGTCAGTCAGCAGGTAGGTGAGCCAGCGAAGCTCCTGTGCAGCCATGGCCCCGGCGTAGATCTCAGCCTCACAACTGGAGCCGAGAACAGAAGACGAGCGGGTAGCCCGCCACGAAACAGAGCCGGAACCAAGGCTGAAGGTGTAACCCTGTGACGACCGCTGAGTAGCCTGGTCGTCAGCCCAAGAAGTGTCTGCGTGCCCAGTGAGGACCACTGGACTCTGCCCTCCAAGCACAAGCCCCATGCCCGACGTACTGCACAAGTAACGCAACACCCTCTTCGCTGCAGCCATGTGCTCCGGTCTGTGTCTCCCAGGAGCAACATAGCGTGCGAGAATGCTAAGAGGGTATGCGAGGTCAGGTCGTGTGCAGGTCATCAGGTACATGAGGCAGCCAACAAGCTCTGGGTACGGGCCACTCGACTCTACGGACTCATCCGAAGGCAGAGCTGAGAGCGAGTGGCGAGTAGGCAGAGGAGTGGCCTGAGGCGAGGAGTACGTGAAGCCGAAGCGCTGAAGGACCTGCTGCACCATGTGTGACTAAGTCAGGGTAATGGTGCGGCGTGCTCTGTCCCGGGTGATCTGCAAGCCAAGGTAGCTGCGCAGTTCACCCAGGTCTGTGCACGTGTGTCTCTTCTGCAGCTCGGACTTCACGTGGGCGAGTCCAGCAGTGTCAGCTGTGGCAAAGACCAAGTCGTCGACGTACACGAGGATGTAGAACGGCGGCAAAGAAGTGTCGGTGCGCAGAAACAGCGACGGGTCGGCAGTAGAGGGAGCAAACCCAAGAGCCGCAAGTGTAGTCCTCAGTGTGTCGTGCCACTCACGCGGTGCCTGGCGGAGACCGTAGACTGGCCGCCGGAGGCTCCACTGGGTGCCAGGAGGAAAAGACCCAGTGAAGCCAGGTGGGCGACGCAGCCAGATCTCCTCGTGCAGGCTGCCCTGCAAGAAAGCAGTGCTGAAGTCAAGAGAGTGCAGCTCGTAGTCGCGGTGAGCAGCTATGTGCAGCAGTACCCGAAGAGTGGTCATCTTCGGGGTGGGAGAGAAGGTCTGAAAGTAGTCAACTCCCTGCCGCTGACTGAAGCCACGAGCCACGTAACGCGCCTTGAAGACAGGCGGAGAACCCGGCGGCCGCTTCACCCTGAAAATCCACATGCCACTGACGATGTTCGCCCCAGGCGGGGGAACCTCGTCAACGTAGGTACCTGTGGACTTCCAGGAAGCCATCTCTGTGTCCATAGCTGCCTGCCACTGAGAGGAGCAGGGACCCTCTATCGCCTCCGCGTAAGAGCGCGGAGTCGGGATGTCAAGTGCATCCGGGTCTCCCTCAGGGGTAAGCAGTACGGACACGAGATGAGGTGAAGCAGCAGCCAAACACTGGAACTCCTCCTGCCTGTCCTCAAGGACGTCCGTGCCAAGGGCACACTCACCCCCGACGGACGGAGGACAGACAGACTCAGACTCAGCGACAAGACAAGCAGCGTAGTCTAGACGACAGCGAGCAGCAAAGTCGACGAGCTCAGCAACTAGGGCAGACGCAGCAGTGGACGCAAAGGAAGGGTCAGTGACGACAGTAGCAAGGAGACGCGTGACAGTAGGACTGGCAGCACGAAGAGAGTCCGACTCTGGGTCGGGAAGAGCAGGAAGAGAGGACTCAGGAGGAGAAGGCAAAGGGGCACGCAGAGGAGCAGTGGACGGACGCAGAGACATCCGGTGCGTGCCAGGGACAGGAGGAGGACGCTGACGCGAACCACGACCACTAGCGCGAGCGGTACGGACAGGCGACGCAGGACGCGACGCAGGCTCACGACGCTCAGCAAGACCTCCAGTAGGACCAGTGTAGGGAGAAGGAGCGGGCAGTGGGGAGGCCGGCTGTAACTGTAACTGTGACAGGACAGGCTTTGGACTCTCTAAGGGAGGAGGAGGGCCAGTAGAAGGCGGGAGACCAAGAACCTGCTGAAGGAGCGGAACGAAGTACGGCCGAGGCCGCGCGGCGACTCCAGACACAGCAGGGACAGTACCAGTACCCCAAGCGGCAGCACCAGCGCCAGCAGCAACTCCAGCTCCAGTACCTCCAGCAGCACCAGTAGCACCCCCAGCAGGCCCGCCTCGAGGACCGACAGCAGTAGCCTCAGCGTCAACACCCTCAGCAGCTCCAGCTCCAGTCGTACCCGCAGGCCCAGCAGCTCCAGTACTCCCAGTACGAGCACCTCCGGGACCCGCGGCACCAGCACCCTCAGTAGCCGAAGAACCTCCAGCTCCAGCAGCACGCCTCCAGCGCCGGGCAAACCACTCGCGCAGCTCCTGTGGAGAGAGTGGCTCCCGCCGAGACGAAGCACCCGGAGAACCTCCAGGCTCAGCACCGCCAGACGCCACACAAGCAGGCCCAGCTCCCTCAGGCTCCACACCCCCAGGCCCAGCACCTCCAGGCGTAGCACCCCCAGGCTCA